AACAAACAATCTCAAACAAACAACATTTAAGAGAATGTGTTAAAAAAATTTATAATTAGAAAATATTAAACATAGAACAAAGCATGAAAGATATTTAAACAAACAATGAGTCACAAGTAAACAAATAAAACAAACCATCGTCCAACCATACAAATGAGAAAACAATATAAAGCAATCAAACAAAACCTTTAAATAATCTTATAAAACTCAATCACAACAGGAACATAGAAGTTTAAATTACAAAACAAACAATAATATGAATCAAGTAACAAAATTACGATAATCAAACTTTTAAAAAACAATGCAAACTCCATATCAAAACTATAAATCAATACCAATTAAGTTAGCAAAAGCTACATAAATAATATATCCAGTTTAACATATAACAGGATAAACAAAACCTTAAGTAAAGTCCTCTAAACACATAACAAACAAACAATATTTAAGTCAATGTGTAACAAAAAAATTTACAAAAAGGTAAGTTATTTAAAAACTCAAAAAGTTGATCACTTGCAATGCTTATGATCACTGGAACAACAAGTAAAGCAAAGCCCCTTGCAATGATAAATTAATAAGATCAATAAGGAAACCCATGAATTAATGAAGACTATCTATATTGAAAACCAATATACAAATAAACAACTTTGATCTCATCCCATGCCTACTCTATTTCTCTCGCACAATAATGAAGAAAGAGTTAGATTTTCGACCAATCATCATTTGTGACAAATAATAAATATACAATTGGAAAAACTAAATGAAAAACCAAACATAGAAATTTAAAATAAAAATAGAAAAACAAAGGAACAACTAACACTACAAATCTCAAAAACCAAACATGAAAAGAAAAAAAAAAGAATTTTTGCATGATCATAAAATATCAAACATAAAACAAACCATGGAAATATTTAAAGAAACAATGACTATCAATCAAACAAACTAACCATGGAACATATTTAAAGAAACAAGGACTATCAATCAAACAAACTAAACAAGCGATCAACGAATGACACAAATGAAAAAAATGATATAAAGCACTAAATCAAAACCATGAAATAATCTTACAAAACTAAATCATAATAGGAACATAGAAGCTTCAATTATGAAACAAATAATGATATAAACCAAGCAACAAAACTGCAATAATAAAACCTTTAAAAAATAATGTATACTCCGAATCAAACCCATTGTCCCCAAAATGAATATCATCCCATCTTATGGGGTAATCCATCGTTTCCACCTGGCAATGACCAAAGCAAAAATATTTTTTAAAACAACAATTATATAAACCAAACAACAGAAGCACAATAATAAAACATTAAAAAAATCATGCAGAATCCAGATGAAGGTCATCTTCTCCAAGAACAACATGACCCATTTGAAATGGGTATCTATCATATCCACACAACAATGACCAAAACAGTAATTCACAAAAAAACCATAAATAATCTTGTGTAAAAGCAAAAAACAACTTATTTCAGAAACAACTCAAAACCCAAATTTCTTCAAACCTGAAAAACCCTAAGTAGCAAAGCCAATAAAGAAAAAATTAGGAAATGAACAAATGCAACAACAGAAAAAACCCAGCTGAAAGAAAAGAAAGAATAGTAAAAGGAATATCCAAAATATAGCAAGGAAGAACGAGAGTAGGTCAAGCATAAACAGGTAGAGGACAATGCAGAATAGCTCAGACTTAAAAGACATCTCAAGCCAGACATGTTAGTTGGCTGTACGCAATCAGATGGTAAGCACAAAATTCGAAAAACCCAAAAGCGTCTAACATGAACCAATTAAGAAAAATGAAAAAAAAAAAATTCATCCATGCCACCTTCTAACCCGACCTGAGACCAAGTTTGAAAAAGTCAAACCGAGAAAACAGAGAAACAACATGAATAAAAATGGCAATCGATCAACCACACCCCAGCCTAACACAAAGGAGAAAGCAACATGAGAGAACAACAAAAGGAAGAAAACTATCAACCACACCAACGTGGCTCAAGGGTGGTAAAACCCTTAAGAGAAAAACGGCTCGAGAAAGGACCACAATACAACAAATGGCAATGTAAAAAAAAAAAAAAAAGCCTTTTTCTCTTTCTCTTCCTTTCTTTCTCTCTTTACACCCCTCCATGTCAGTGTACACATCATGCAAGCTCATTGCTTTAACTTAGTACAACCATTTTCAAAACTCTAAAGTTAAAAAGCTGAGTAAGGCTACTCATGCATGCAAAAATAAAATTAATAAAAAAAATTTAAGGGTAAAATACACTCATCTCCTAAGTTTTAATATAAATTGTAAGTGCATCCATTAGTTTTCGAATGGATACTTGACAAAAAAAAAAAAGTCTTTCATTAGACATATAAGTCCAGCCGTTAGTCAATCGTTAATGTTTCCGTTACTTTGATGATATGACAATATTGAAATGATAATTTTACTCTTTATTACTTTTAAAGATTACTATTATATCATTTTTATTAATATTTATTGATTCTAAAAAAATAAGGAGCACCGATTGATGCCTTCAATTTGTTTTTAAACAAATAATAATTTTTTAAATTAATAAAGAAAAAAAAGTATTTTAATTTTTTTATATTTTTTGTTAACAGTATTTATATTTTTAAAGTGGAGTATTTATTTTAAAAATTAATGAACGAGATTTAATTAAAAGTTAAGGGGGTGGGGGTGTTTTGTTTGAAATTTAAAGAAATTGGAAAAAAAGACTTTAAGGCCGTCATTGCAAAGAAGGCCACTGAGGACGCATTCCTTGAGAGTAGGTCTTAACACTATGACATCATGCTTTTCATCCGTGGCTTTTGGTTGCCTCTACAACTGTTCCAAAATGATTAGAAAAGACAATGAGGAGTTCGTGTTACTCTAGTATTCACCTTTCAAAACCTAAGCAATATGTCCAAGAACAAAATTGTAGAGTCCATCAATGAAAGGGGAGGGAAGATTAGGAAGAAAGTTGAAGAAGAGAACCTGCTCTAGAAGTTCCAAGAGAGAAGTAAGAGAGGGGAAAATGAAGAAAAGATCAAGAAGAAAAAGGAGGAAGAGAAAGGAAGTTTCCAAAGAAAGGAGAAGAGCAAACCCCAAAAACACCTTTGTTTTTCAAAAGAAAAATTCAAAAATGCCCCTACCCTCTGTCTAAATTATCAAACAATACCAAGTTTATATTTAAAAGTTCAAAAATACCCTCCAAACATGTGAAATGCTAAGATAGATGCCACGAGTAGAAGGGATATGTAGGTAGGATTCATTATATTTTAGATTCGAACTAGCAACATTTATTGACACTAGGTCCATGGGTGTGGATAGATATATATATATTTTGGTGGTCATAAACTTAGATCATTTTTCTACGGCTCTTTTAAGAACCACAATTATAAAATCAACATATAATGTTTTTAAAAAATATCTTTTAATTATTCAAAAATTTTAAATAAATTTTTTTATTATATTTAATTAAATTTTAATATTTTATAATTATTCGATAAGCATAAAATCTCAATATGAAAAAGGCAACTAGTATGACAAATTATTCCAAAAAAGCTTTACTAGTTGTTCCTATCAATTACAACTATTTGTAGAACTTGTAAGCTTTAGTACATAGATCAAAAGTGAGAGTTGGAAGGCAACAATCAAAAACTCAGTGAAAATTACTCTCAAAACTCCCTCAAAGCTTTCCCAAATATTCTCTATACTCAACCCTTTCTATCTATCATGCTCTATCACTTTCTCCACCTTTCTTATTTTTCACCATTTGCCATCAAAGCACTTACATAGGCTCTACTGTAGCCTTCCTCTCTATCATCTCTAGTGGATTCTAATTCACTTATTGAAACACGTTCTCTCTCTTTACTAAAAAAAACCCTTTACAAAAAGAAAAGAAAAGTCTCCAAATGCAACATCAATCGGCTTCAATACCCGAAGATGGTGGTTAACAAATCCTTGAGACTGCATCATCCAAGGGCACTTTCACTTCCAAGAGAACCCATGTCTCAATTCAACATAGATGGTTACAAGGTTTACCCCAAAACTTGCATCCTAGTCAACATTTAGGCAATAGATAGAGATCCTAAGAACTGGGAAAACCACAAGAAGTTCTACCCAAAAAAGTTTATGGATAGCCCTACTGATTTCAAAGGCTAGAATTTCGAGTTTTTATTATTTGGTTCCGGGTGCCCTAAAATTTTTATGGCAATTTTGACTGTGGAGCTTGTACTCGCAAATCTCTTATATCATTTTGATTGGAAATTGCCAAATGGACAAAAAGCAGATCTCAACATTGACAAATTATAAGAAAGAAGCTTTACTACTTCTTCATATCAATTACCATTATTAGTAGGCCTTGTAAGCTTTAGTACGTATATCAAATATGCTAAGTTACTGCATGTAAGCTTATATGCATATGCATTTATGATGTCAGATAATGCATATTCTGTCGTGAAAAAAAAATTATCAAATAATTGAAATAATGGATAGACTTATAATTAATTTTAAAATTATAAATTTTAGATCGACAATCAAGATAATTTGAATTTATATAAATATCATTGAGATAATAAATGTATGAATGTTTATCTTTTGTAAGTAGATAGATTTAGAAAATTTTTCGTTTATGAATGATTTTTTTTATTAAAAAAAGAAGTTTTTTAAACAAAAATACATATACGATGTCCTTGTCACTGAGTCAATGCTCGAATACAACTGTGGCTTATATACAATAAATTGCCTAGGGTTGAACTAGGCATGGCAATGAGGAAAGCCTTAGAAATTATCTTGAATATTTTCTAGTTATACGTACAAGGAAAGCCCCAAAAAGAGTTACTACCATGTTTATACTAGTAAGCAACTCGTAAGCAGCAGCATCAACTGGCGTTGCAAAATTCCAATAACAATACCATGCCCGCTTACTTACAATTATTTTTAAAAAAAATATTAACAAATATCACTATATATTGTATTAATTAATTTTCATTAATTACGAGTTGATTTGTATTAATTTGTTAATACAATACATTATTTTTTAAAAAAATATTAACAAATATCACTATATATTGTAATTGAAAAAAATTACAAATCAAAATACAAATCAAAATATTCCCCTTCCACTTGAATGAAATTCCAATAAACTATGCATAATTACAGTTGATTCCTCACAATAAAATTTGGGTTTAGTAGGCTTCTACCCTTACTATATTCTGAGAAGTAAGAGATGTTACTTCTCAACAATAAACTGCCACCAGTGGCCCCTCTCCAATTGTAGCTTCACACCTCTGATCCAACAATCAATGGCGAGGTTGACAGAGGAGATGCAACCATGCCGCTTGAATTTTGATCCCCAGATGCTCTCATGGATTCTGTTTCATCACCAAAACATCTTACATACTTCTTCATGAGCGCCTTACCACTACAGCTATTATTCCATGTCTTTATTCCAAAAACTTTAAATGCTAGTTTCCGAGCCAGATCCATTATGAGAAAGTTATGAACAGATTCTATGTTTCACATGCCAGAAATAATTTCAGCTTACCCAGTCTTTCTCGTATTTTATCTGCATATTCAGCCCCACAACCTTTCTGTGAAAAGGAGACTATATCAACAAACATCCCATTTGAAGGTTGAATTCCAGCATCCTCCATCCACTGAAGAACCTGCACAGAGATTTGCAAAGGAGATTGAGTATTTCACCTTGTGAATACCTATAACGCACATCTACAAAAGTAGTATTTTCTCATATTTATGTTCTGCAAATATGACTTCATGAGTAAATTCATACTTTATTTGATTCTTGCCTGTTAGTTTGAACTTGAATCACTAAAGCCATGATCAGAACAAGTATAATTGTCTATTGACCATTAAGAAAACTTTTTCAGATGGAAAAGAATCACGAAGATTTAAGGACCATTTATTAGGAATCTGGAAATAATTATTGAATATATATAATTGTATACACATCTTTTACCATGATGCCACTGCGGCAAAAGTAGGAAGTTTGAGGGCCTGGATCAGCTAAATGAAGGGATTTCAGACATTTAACCATCATGCCAGATGTTAAACTAGAAGAGTAGATTAATTTATAACATTTACACCACTTATATAAGAAAATCCACAGTGTAGACTGAAGTTTAACACATTAAGGTTAACAGAAATGCAGAAATATAACCTCAATATATTTTCGCCAATTTCCAGCAGCCAAAAGATTCTTCAACAAGATTGAATATGTATTGAAGTTGACTGCAGCACCTGATGCTATTATCTTGTAAAACAGCTGCGTGCATGAAAAGGAAAAATTAAAGGCAATAGAAAACTAAGATATCAGAAAATAAATAAAGAATCTAAAACAGTTACACAGCACTGATCTTTAACCTTAGGGATAGAACTTGAACTTCCAAGTTCTTCTGAGACACTGAACAAAATAAACTTCTAATAGATACTTTAAAAGAAAATCAAGTACCTTCATCATAGGCTCAATTTTTCCACTTTTTCCAACCAGATGAAGAAGCTGATTCATTAGTCCAATGGAAACTAAAGGGAACGAGGGCTCCATTAGTTTGATCAGGTCCATTGTGGTCTTCCAATCTCGTAACCTTCACTCAAATTCTCATTGTCAGTTTCTAGGAAAGCAGAAAAAACCACACTGAAGTTTGTGCCAAAAAAACAGATCTGCTTTGTAAGAAAGCTGGCTCCTCAAAGCAAAGTGGAATTAGACATTCGAAAATAAAATATAATAATCAGACAATGCAGGATAAACCAGTATCATGTTTAGTCATGAAACAAGGTGGCACCAATAGGCATACGGTGACTGACCACACTATTTACTTGATTGTGAAACAAGTTACATTGGATTGCAGCTCCAAGTAAAAGTATTCATTTCTCCTGCCCATGATTCCTCCTTTTAAAATGCACAAAAGCATGGACAAGATTTGGTGTCAATATAAGTGGCTGCATTGGGTTCAGTATCCTCTAAATACTGGAATTTCTTAAAATTTTATTTTTTTCGCAATAAGAGTAAAACGAAAATATCTGCATCAGCTGAAAGCAAGCAATAATCAACAACTCACTCTAGAACAAAATTTAAGAAAACTCTCTTTTAGGGAAAGGAACAAAAACTTATGAAATGTGTCGTTTTCTGCAAATATAGACATGAAACTTACATGCTACAAGCTGACACCATTTCAAAGAAAATAGCATCATTTAAAGGGATTGCTTTCTCTCTCATATACTCTGCCAAAACAAGAACCTTGGATGGTCGTCCTCCCTTATTAAAAGCTCTCATTAGAGCTGAACATGCTACAGAATCAGGTTGGATGTCATTTGTTTCCATATCTAGAAATAGTGCGCAAGCTTTTTCCCACTTTTCTGAAGGATAATAAGATACCATGTTGTTAGTTCCAGAAATCAATCAATAACAAACACCAGGGTATGGGGTTGTGTGTGATCAGTGATTGCTTGGTTTGTAAGACCTTGGTGGCTGGTGCTGTGATGATTGAGAACTGTCAACCCCAAAAACACTCATTTATCTTATCACTCTGATAGAGTTTTACTAGTATTAGACTTTTGTTTAGGGATTTATCCAGAACCCTGCTTGTTTTTGAGATTATCCGTGTTGAGATGCTGCCAAGTGCTCCTTGAGCAGCTGCTCCTTTTGTAATTGTTCAGAACAGGCTCTTCTCATGATAGCTTCCATGCCAACAGGAGTCTCCAAATCTCAACGTTGAAGACTCCCCACGGCATTCCAGCTTATCATTAATAAAAACTCATCTTTAAAAAAAAAAAACAAACACCAGGGTATAATATGGTCAGCAATTTAATAAAAATCAGCATTGCAATAGAAATTACTTTGATAAATAAAAATTCCAGCATATTATATCTTACTTTCTATTATTATATCAATAAATTCCTATCATACATGTATCCAGAAATTGTACCCACGTTTGCAGTTTCCAAGTAGTTACTTAAGCAGTGCAATATGAAACTTACCTGCAGCATTGTATGCATGCAGCATTGCAGTATATGCAACAACATCAGGACAACAACCGGCAACCTTCATCATGTTGAACATTGATTCTGCTTCAGCAACTTGGCCCTGAGATATTGCATCCAAAGAAGAAGAGTTTAAATAAGAGAAACATTTCTCTTAAGTCGTAAATTAACAATTAAGTAACATCTCATGCTGAAGCACTTGCCTGTTTACTGTAAATGCAAATAAGAGATGAGTACACCTCCTTGGTTAGAGGAAGTTTTAAAGCCACCATATCAGCAAGAAAGCCTAGAGCCTCACCATATTTTGACATTTTACAGCAACCACTTATCAATACTGTATAAGTAACGGAATCTGGTATGACATTCTTTTTCCTCATGGATTTGTACAAAGCTACAGCCTTCTCAAACTCTCCGACATTCATATAGCTTCCAATTGCTGAATTGTAGGCAACTGTGTTCAGCATGATACCTCGTAACTCAGCTGCTGAAAGTACAGCATCAATCTTCACCTTTTGCCCACTGCGCCCACAGGCAGCCAAGAGGGTGCAAATTGAGACTATGTTTGGGTGAATACCATCTTGCTCCATATGACGCAAGACTTCCACAGCCTCGGCTAATAAACCATTAGATCCATAGGCATCAATCAATGCATTATAGCTTACAAGATTAGGTTTGCAATTATCTCTCTTCATTATGACAAAAACTTCCCTAGCTTTGTCAGGCTGCAGTGATCTTCCATAAGCATTCAGTAAAGAAGTAAAAGAAACAACATCTGGACGAAAACCATTTTGTTTTATCTGCTCAAAAACTGCAAATGCCTCTTCACTCATTCCGTGTGAAGCATATGCAGCCATTAGTGTGTTATATGTAACAATATTGGGTCTTATACCTTCTGCAAGCATTGTATTAAACACAGCCTTACAATTTTCCATCTGTCCACTAACAGAATACAGATGAATGATGCTGGTGAATGTAACAATGTCAGGGTGGCAATCTGCTCTCTTTTCTCTCATGGAATTAAAAATATCAATAGCTTTTCCATATTGTCCAAGCTTCACCAGGCAATTTATCACAATATTTAGGGTAGTTGTGTCAGGGCGAATATTTGTTCCTTTCATCAGTTCAAAATAAGACAAAGCTTTTGAATACTGAGCCCCGTTCTTATATGCAGACAATACGATGTTGTGTGTAACCAGATCTGGCCCAACTCCATTTTCTGTCATTTTCTTGCAAACCTTCAGAGCTTCTCTCCAATTTCCACTAGATCCACAAGCGTTGATCAAGTTGTTATAGGTTGATCGACTTGGAGGGATCTGCAAATTTACACTAAGGTTACAGAAATCTCTTGATGAAAAACGATAGAAGGGAAAGAACAATTGCTATAAACAAAAAAGTTCAGTTGCCTACTCTTTTCTAAATGCAGGAAAAAAAAAACAGTAATGATATTTATATACAAAAATGTGCTAATTTCAATCTAATTTACTTAAGTAACTCTTATGTTGTCTATGAATAATGCACAAAAAAGATTTGATCTCTACTTCTTTCTCTATCTATTCTCCCTTATTTTCAACTGACACGGGGAAAAAACCCATTATGGCACATCAACTAGGATTGGTTAGTCTTACAAATGGTTTTGAATGTTAAAGGATATGTCTATAAAATATAGATGATTTTATTAGTTACTGCAGAATGTAAATCAATCAAGAAAGAGGTGCATTGCATTTGGTTGGACAAGTGGCCTTTTTTATGAGCATCCATTGTTTGTTTGAGGGCAAAACATAAATCTGGGCAAACTTTCCTGACAAAACTCTTAAATCCCATCTAAAATTCAGAATGCTAAATCATATAATTGGTCATGCTATATGCACCTTTGAAATAAATTTACAAACATAAAAGAGGAAATCAGAGCATGTAATCAATAAAAAATCATGCAAAAAATTCTGCCAATCACCGAGGGAAGGATTCTATGAAGAGTACAAACCTGCAGAAACCAAAACTATATCAACCATAACAATAGTTAATTGTTACAATTAAATAATAATAGAGGCATTATGCACATATTGTTCGACCAAAGCAATAGTTATAGTGGCAATTACATGATAATTAAGGCGCTATGCAGTATTGCAAAATTTTATACCACTACCATTTCAATGTGAAAAGAAAAAGTAAGAAGCTCACAACAAGTTACACCAACTAAGATTGATTAAGGAAGAAAAATACAAATACACACAGCTGCACTGAGCATGTCTTCCAAGATATTCATAGCCCAGCGCCATTGACCTGCTCGACCATGTGCATGGATAAGAGCATTGTATGTCTCAGCATCAGGTTTGCACCTACAGCGAAATGATAATATGAAATTAATATATCACCAGAAAGTTAAATGAGATGTTGAATGGCAAGCCTTCAGAAACTTTGAAAATAATAACTACCAGATTCGAGGATATATAGAACCTATTGCTAGGAAAACTAAAAACTCCAGAGCTAACAATATATGCAGAGATCAGATGCTACAGACCAAATAAAACCAAAATTCCTTTATCCTTTCAGTACTTTACAAACACATGTTACCAGTACCCATGTTGAGACTAATGCAATTTAAATGAACAACCAACCACCGCTATCATGAAGTGAAAAGGACAATAGTAAGGGTATTAATCTTCTAGTAGCACATAGACCTTATCATAAATGTATTTCTTATGTACGATGATACTAGAGGAAAGAAACATAACTAATTGAAGGGATGATTCTGGTTGACAGACATACTGCTTGTTTATTAAGTAGATTCCATAGAATAGAGATGCTAAATATCCAAAAAAATCTAGATTCAATAAAACAATTGACCTGGCTAACTAGCTGCTTTGCTCTCTTTGATAACCTGCAAACAACTACATCACATCTTAAAGGGTAAGACTATTGTGCTATCAAGGTCATCCTCTTCCCAATTCTGAGCATGTTTTGGCTCTAAAAATAAGCTTTTTAAACAATTCTTAGCTTCTAATGGAAGATTATAGGGAACACCACTATTAACTTCCTTTAAACTAGAAAAATTTATAATTCTTTCTTTTGCCACTTGAAGAATTATATGATGGTCTCCATTTTCATAGAAAGGATTCTGACACAAAGGGTGAATTACCATACATATTGACTGAAGCACCTTCAGCACTGATTCATCGTTATTAACTCATCCAGCTATCCTGAGTTAGTCTGCAAAAATAATATTTTAAGATCCCATTTAACATTTTCCTGCACAAGGAACTAGATATAATAGATAGAAATGATAAAATTTTACATTTGGACTTCCATCACATTGTGTTACTGACGTAGAAAGCCAAATGTTCACATTGCTATGAGTTTTTAACTACATGATGAAGTATTGTAGGTATTCAATACACTAATCCCATTAAAGTGACTGAAGGGTAATAATTTGCTTCAATTAGGGCCATACCGTAGTTGCTACACCCAATAATCATTATTTAGGAAAAATTTCAACCTGTGTTTCGGGGCTTCTTGGGCTTGATGGTAATATTATAAATTTTCCATGATATTCCAAATTAGCATCAACTGGAGCTTTGTGAGAATATCAGTCCTAGCTCTTGGCCGAAGTAAAATTTGAAAAAAAGATCATCAAAGCCTCTATTTGGATGTGTTAAGTTTATAATATCATTAAATCTTTGAAACCTGACATTATCATTCCAGTTTACACTTCCGACAACAAAACAAGATTTTTAAATTTACTTACATCACCTTCGTATTCCTTAAGCTTATCCACTAACATTTTCATATAGTGTTGTACAGAGGCATGAAAATAATCAGATATGTTAATGTTCATATAATCTTGTTGGCTGGTTTGATGGTCTTTTAGCACTCAAAATTGCATGATGGATGCAGCAAATAGTTGATGGAAATTACAGAAGATTAGAACAACGTGCAGGGGAACAGCAGATGAGAGAAATTTCTTATTTTTCATCCAATCTAAAAGGCAAGTGCTACAACGTTATATGCTCACTAAATGTATGGTACTAAGCGTCCAAGTGGTCAAATCTACAGCCATACAGATTAACACAAATTAACATGACAAGTTCATATCAACTCAAACTACGGTTACATTGCTGTCATGTGTAGTCTCCCTCTTAACAGTTCACTCCAAGGATATCTCTAAAATGCTGGTAAGAGACTACCAAGTCACACTCCAAATAAAAGAGAATATTTTAGTGGTGGTAACCAAATATGAGGAACAGGTGAAACAAGAGGTAGAGGCAGCTAGATGATATATTCACAAAGACACTTGCAAGACAAAAAGAAGACATCAATGTTTGGGATCATGAAGCAACAATTAAGGGAGAATGTTCTTTAATGTGTGCTGTAAATTAATAGAATTTACTGTTGGCAACAACTGAAGTTTTTAAGAACATATGAGCATAGATACCATGGACTATTAACTGGACAGCTTACTTACCGCCAACTTTAGAGCATAAATACCATGTATCAGACTATCAGTTGCTGGAATCTTCAGTAGAAACGACAGATTGCAAAAATCCCCTAGTTTTATCTTTAGCTTTATTGCAGAAAATCGTAATCTTTGGCTTCTTAATTCTGTTTTGATAATATATATTTTTTATATCAAGTCTCACAACCAGCCAACAAACCTAAAAGGCAACATCAAAGAAAGCAAATATAAATCACACCAGAAGAGCCTGAAAGATAATTCATTTCCATCAGTCTTGATCTCAATAAACTTACAGCCTTTCCATGGCCATTAGTGCAAAAGCTTCCCCCAACAAAATAAGAGCTCAAGATATTCTACAAAGGTTAAAAGTTAATGAGATCCAGTGTCAATTGGGCTATTGGAGTTTGTAACTCAATTAGATATATTAAACCAAGACAATGACTTCAAAGAGGATCTTTATAGAGAAACTACAAAGGGCTACTTCTTTGCCAGCATAAAAAGACTCCAATAATTCATACTATGACAATGCACAGATGTTTCCATTTACAAACTGCAAATTGGCTTTTGAATTACTAACTATAAACATTATGAGATCCAAATGAAAAGTGTTTTGCATACAGCTACAAAAATGTTATGCATACTAGGACACAAGTACAATATAATATCACAACAAACAGAAAGCATTACCTCCACTTCTGCATTTCGAAAAACAAACCACGTGCTTGATCCGTCCGATTATGTCTAGCATGTAATCTTATCATCATATTGTAGATATCGTTTCGCGCACAGTAGTTCTTTTGATTTTTCATCCAGTCAAATACTTTTACACTATGTTCAATTGCACCGCTTTGCGTCAGCTCCTACCAAACCACAATCAAATACAATCAATCAACACAATTTCAACCGCTAATATCTAATTATCCTCAGGCTCCATTAGGTTATTACTTCTGATACTTGCTTTTCTGCATCTGTTTTGTACTTCCTCATAAGTTACTAAAAATGAAAACAAACACTCCCTAAGTACAAATCAAATTGCCACATTTTGACTTCTATTAGTCAAAATTTTTGAACTTTTCGAAATCCTATTATTTTATTTAATAATTAATAAAAATATGGAAAAATATTATTTTTAAAACTTCGAATGAAATGATTTTTAATATATATTTTTATAAAATTTAATTTGAAATAATTTAACTGATATAGATCGAAGTTAGGAAATCGCAAAACCACCAGCCAAATGAAAACCAAGTATTTTATATTCATAAAATAAAAATTATCTTATAGCAAGTGGACGTAGCATACCTTGATGAGAAACGGGAAATTTTTCCTAGCAAAACGGCCAACCCACCGGTTCAGCACCGGTTCGACGTTTTCCCAATGATTAAGCTCCAGAATTTGGTCGACGACCTCGGACACGGTCCAGTCCTTTTGGAAGCGGTCGCCTTCCACACGCAAACGGTACCGTTTAGGTATATCGGCCTTCCTGAGTCCACTCACCCGAGTGGAGACCTCGTGCTGGCCCTTGTCGTAGTCGACGAAGCCGGATTTCTGCTCCTCGAACGCGGTGTCGTTCTTGCGTTTCTTGCAGAGGACTAGGGACTTGGGGCGAGTGGAGTGAGTGGAGTGGGGCGAGTGGAGAGTGAGTTTGAGAGGACATGGGTGGGGTAGAGTAGTCATTTCATCCGAGGGAGGAGAGTGGAGAAGAGGGAGCAATGCCAGTGGAGGCTTTTTGACAGTTGGAAGAGGAGTGCTGGTGGACAAACCCCTTCTTCAAAAGCTCGCGGGGACGTTTGCCGTTGCTTTGCTCTATTAATTAAAAAGACACGTTTGACCTAAAAACAAAATTTATTTACTTTTATATCCAGATGCATCTGTACTTTTTTTTTTTAAAGAAAAGGCATCTCTATTTATATTTACTAGATTGTCGCCGTACATTGCATTCGGGTCAAATAAATAATATTGAAGTAAGTTTTAATAAGAAAAATTGTATGGAAATAGTGTTATAATTTTTATTACAGAGTGGATATACACATTTAATTTTTTTTCTATTTAATATATGGTAAATGGTCATGATAAATATTAAAATAATTATATACTGGCGATAAAAAAAATTAAAATGATGATCTACTTTTATGTTTTTGTATATTGTTCTGTTCATACAAAAGTTAGCAATATAATGTTGAGTTTGTCATTCTACGTGTGAACTAAAAAATTAAGACAGCATTTATAATTTTACACATTGTTTTCCATCAAGTGAACAAACAATGAATACCCTCTATCAAAGTTACGCCCATGATTTAATATGTAGAAACAAAGATGTATACAATAAGAATATAAAAATCTTTACACTTGAGAAAAGCCTTACAGATAAGATAAACAAGGAAAAGGAACGCAAACAGAGGAAAATGCAAAACCCCAATCTGGAAAACACAAATAGAAACTTTTGAGAACCCAAAGAATGGAAGCAAGGACGATTGGAAGTCATTGATGGACGTGGAAATGATAGTGCCAAACAACATCAATTGGTTACATACAAATCCCAAAACCAACCAAAATACCCAAATAGTGATACGTGACTCTAAAAAGAGGGGGGAAAACCCAATGAAACCATTCAAAATACCCCCGACCAAACCAATACGTGAAAAAATAAGTCCTTGTCAAATTTCCAAACACACAAGTTTATTCGAGCCGATCACAAATGAGTGTAGAAGGCTTTCCACGACTCACTAATGAGTATAGAAAGCAACAAAAGGCAACCCAAAGAAATATGTCAACCGGCTCAAAGGTGACTCTAGAAACAAGCCGAAAGACACGAGGAGTTGGGGAGAGCATTCCCCGATTCCATTGCCCAAAAATAACCCCCAACCAAACCAAACCAAACCCCTCAGCTTCTCTATCACACCAAAATAACCCCTCCACAATGCCCCACGTGCCAACCCAAGGGAAAGCCACATGTCAGCACCAGTATGATCAGTATGAACTTCCTTTAATATAGAGGTAATGCATCACATTCCAACCAAAAAGAAAGCCACACGTTAGCACTGAAATGATTTGTATGGACTTTCTTTAATATACAGGTCTAGATAGATATATAGTGATTATCTCACATCGTTTCAACCTATTAATCATTTCAAATTTGAATACAACATAAGTATCACAGTTTGAATATCCAATATTTCAATTTGAGTATAAATGTTTATTTATTGTTAATTAAATTATTTGATATATTTTTAAAATAATTTATTATTTAAATTTTAAATTTAACATTTATTTACTTTTATACTAATAAATTTTATAAATGTAAATTATGAAATATAATTATTATTTTATACAGTACGAATTTGAGTGATTAAATACTCATTAAGAGATTAATAAAATTTTTTTATACCAGTACAAGTTCAAGTAATTGAATACTCATGAAGAGGTTAATAAAATTTTTTTATACTACCAACTATTTAAACGGGTTCATATAGTTAGTAATGAATAAAACATTAGGACTCAAATTCGAATAATAATAAGGTTTAATGGTTCAAAATTGCAATTTCTCTAAACAACCAATGAAACCAAATCCTCTATCTACACAAAATATAGTACACAAGTAACATTATCTCGGAGCTCTCCGCTGTGCACAAAATTTGTAATGACAAGGAATACACAAGAAACAAAATTGTGTCACCATCTGAGTGTTAAACTCATGGCTCTCGCTTGTAAACAGTGCCTCCGACATTATGATTTTACTATGGCTCTCGGCAAAAGCTAGGATCATGCCCGTCTGGTCTGTACTTCAGAGTGCGTTAACACCCTCAATCCCTCATGCCCCAACGTGATTGGGAAAAAATAACTCACTTTAGTGAGAAGGAACTATAACAATATCTTTGTCCAACTCTGCTGAACCAACCACCATTCCGAGTGTATATTCATTTGTTGGCCGTGTTATTTACCACGCAACTTCTTCTGTTTTCCTACTTGGAAAGAATGTTTCTTACTTCCTGCCTCATCCTTTTTGCTCCTACCCACCTCATCTATCTTTCTCTTCTGACTTCTGGCAAACCTTTTCTTGAAATTCTTCTTGTTCTTTTCACCATTTCCATCTGAATGACCCGTCATTGAGTTTTTCAAGTGCTTAGGTCCTTTAGCCATTTTCATTCTACCACCACGGGCAGCTGATATATCAGGTTCACTTGAATCAGGAAGCTTGCCACCATCTCTTTTGTCCCTCTTTCTCTTTCTGTGTTCTACACAGTCATTTTTCTGTTGAAACATACCCAAACCCCTGTGTTTCCTCTTTTGAGACCTAGTAATATTCAACAGGTAGTTAGAAGACGTTCATATGCACACAACTCATAAACTAAAATACAAGAGAAACCAAAGTAAGTTGCATCAATAGATCAGACCCCTCAGTTAACGAATCCACAAGTACTTTCTCTGCATTAGTAGCATCAGCTTCTTTGGGAGTTGTTTTGCTACGCCGGTTCTGCGATAAGATAGAAATTATACATACCCACGTCAGACATTGTAGTAGGATCTTCATAATACACATCTGTGGAGGCTCAAAATGGCACAGGTTAACCACATATTCCAGGAGCAAAATGGATATTAGGTACCATACTGGGATCAGGAATAAGGGTCTAGCACACTGGTGTGAAAGAAGACCTTTTTCTTTATTCCAGGATAAACTTTGTTAATAAAACATTTTTACACGTTCAGATCAATGAGATCATTGGACATCAAATGGAAGTGTAGATCAGGGGGAAAGAAAGGAGTGCAACAAAAGGATTAAAAGCCTTCCTATGAGACCAAAGCCAATTTTCCTTGCTATGAGAATTCATCACCCCCTTTACCAAAAGTCTTGGGGGAATATGCAATGTATTCCTCAATATGTTTCAATTTTCTTAAACTGAAATAAAACTAGTAGGCTAAATATGAGAAATCGTTACCTCTATAACAGTATTCAGAAAACCCCTATGCTTTTCTGGAGTAACCAATTGAACGGCAGCAATACCACACTTCCTTGTCACAATCTCCAATATTATAGTGACCTGTAGAAGAATGAATGCACAGATACGAAAAAATCCTCCAACTCAAGCTGTCTATATTTATATAAGTGAAACTCTACTTACCTTTGATCTGAAATGATTTCTCGAGATAGATGACCACTGGACAACTCCATGAATGACGTCAGAAAGAAAATTCTGCAGGTCTTTAGCTTGCAAGGAGGACACCAACACTTTGACAAACCCCAAAACAGCCTGTCAACATTGTACAAAAACCTCGTTACTGAGAAGCAAAATTATTTTTCAGCAAAATGCAATAAAAGACAATCTTAATTTGGCACAAGGGAAACTCACTTTTATAACTTCCACAGCTTTAGTTTGCAGCAACGATAAAATAGAGGAAACAAGATCAGGCACTGAAACACAGATCTCTGGATCATTATATACAAGAACAGATAGTGCAGCCACTGCTCCACTCCTAATATGAGGAGATGAACCAGAAAGATATCCCATTATCTGAATAGTAGGCAACACCATTAGTCATTTACAAGTTATGATTAGCATTCAGATGTCAGTGATAATAATATGTAGGTGCTACAAGTTGACAGACATCATCTGCAAATGCAACTATCTGAAGCAACTTGGGATAAGTTAAAAACAAGATACAGATTTCTAGTCTCAAGAATTTTCTTAAACATGAATATCATAAGTTACAAATATATGTCCAATTTAAAGGGTTAACATCATGTTTTAGGGCAGCACGCCCCTTTACTGGAGGAAGACATTTTAGCCTCTAGAGATAGACTCTATGTTCTCTACATAGGTCTTGGAAATGAAACCTACATCTTCTCTTAATTTACTGTGAAACTTACCTGTAAGAAAAGGCTACTGCTTTAGGACCATTCTAGCTGATCTAAAAGAATTATTATATAGTTTTCTGAGTAAGTTTTCAACACTTAATGCCCTGGTAATGAAGTCTAACATATAAAATCATTGATACAAATACGTACAAAGATAAAGCAGCCAAATTTCTTTACAAGAAGAATACACATGGAGACAGACAAAATAACCCTTACCATGCTAATCAGTTTGTGATAGGGTGAATCAGATCTGAGATCTAACAAGTTTCTTAAGGTAGAACTCATCTTTAGGAGTATATCATAAGCTGCTTTCCTAGGTTCTTCCTTCCCCTGCATATCAAATATAAATAAAAATACAATGAGCTGCATTACCCTATAAACTAAAGAAGACAACAAAAGTAAATAATTAAACTTCTTTAGTAGCTCTTACATCTTTTAATGTGACTATAATCTCATTAAGAATGAGAAATGGCTTTGTATTTTCTTCCAATGAGCTCATCTGCAAGAATTTTTAAAGTTAAAATTGGAATTCAGCTGCCATCTATATTTAGTTCTCCAGAGGGCACAGTATTAGACCCATGTGAACGAAAGCTAGCCAACTACTGTGCTGCCAAAACAAATGGTTTCATAGAAGCTAGACAAAAAGAGAAATGAACATGATTTTGCAAAAAAAATATATTAAGTCTACAATGAATGATGCAATTTCCATCATGTAGGCATCAACGACATTGCAATAGGCCAATTCTCCATTACAGCGACAGCACCAATAACAGCTCTTATTTTCAAAAGAGTGAACAAAGTTGTTTAAAGAAGGAACCACAGGCTTGTCATACTTTCTTCATGGTAGGAGGCCCTAAGAGAACTACACAACTAAGGTTTAACTGCTTCATTTAAAACAAAAAAGGTTTTCAGAGGCATAAATCTGCAATAATGCTAAACTCTCTGTTTGATCAAATTGAATTGTGATGAGGCATTACCATAATCTAAAGCATGAATCACAATCAATAAGAATTGCATGAGAAAATAACACCAGTTACATCTTGCTCTGTTATAAAATCAGATGACCAGATATCCCATAAAGAATAGAATACATGAAAGCATAATTGAACAGGAATCTCATTTCTCAAACAGGATGAGCTTAGATGAGATTGAACCTTCAAGGTCTGAACCATTAGGATGTTAAAACAATCAAGCCGGCTTCTAAGAGATGCAATATCAGCAGGAGATTTTAGTCCAAGTAATAGATCAATCAACTCCACCACTCTGGAAGAACAAAACCAAGCATGTTCCTGCATCATAACAAAACAGAAAAAAGGAAATTTATATCTCCTAACATAAGATGAAGATTATGAATAACGAACCAAAAAAAATATGAGAACACATACCTCTAAAACGCTGCTTAAAGTGAAATACGCTTCACAATGACCAATCTCATCAGTTTCCTAAAAACCAGAGGTTAATAAACATATACTAACTTGATTTTCAAAAAAAAATAAACATATACTAACTAGATTAGTTAGTTTCATAAATAACACAAACAGCACCAATCAGAGGTAATCAGATATCTTAAATACCTGAAAAGTTTGCTTTACTAAAGCATAGATAAAATCAATAAGATCCTCCTCAGCTCCTGCAACAAGAGAAGATGCCAGCTCCAGTATAACACACCTGCATAAAAATAAATTTTCTTAGCACCATCATTGATCTCTATAACCCTCCACAAAGAGATTGCCAGCTCTCAAAACTTTTGCCAAGTCCAAAGCAAGTCAACTAGAATCATCCATTCCATGCTCCCAAAGACATTCATTCTTAGTTTGTAAACAGATTTGCATATAGTTCAATGCAAATGGAGCAGATAGAAAGCACTCTCCATTAGGCTGAAGTGGTCAATGTAGTTAAATTTTCAAGCAAATGATATACATTAAATGACCTTTTGCCTTGCAAGTCATTTTCCTAGGAAGTGTTGTTACATGGCCATACCCCGCAAAATGAACAAAGCATTCAAGTAAATGGCACATCTTATGTCCACAACTCCACATTCTAGAATGACAACCACAAATGCCTGCAGTAGAGATAAAGGATGGGACAGTCACTCCCAAAAGAATGTTGCAGGGAGTCAAGCAACATCGGCAACCATTTAATGCTTACTTTCTCCCAATATGATTGGTAGTCCCTTGGTTGTTAAATAGGGGCCCCCTCAATAACTGTTTCAAATAACTGGTAAAGAAAAACAACCAATCAAGTCACATAAAGTCAGTTAGGTTTAAAAGAAGAGTTAGCTACATTATGGTCCCTGAAATGTGTGAGTTGCTTTAATTTGATCATATGATTTTAGGTTGGGGCAATGTGTTAAGTATCAATGTTGTTGGAATTTAGGGCCATAACTGACTTGGTTAGATGTAATATCTCCTAGGAAAGTGCCACCAAATGAACAGTATGTTTTGGTCAGAGGTCAATCTGAAGCCAAAATCCATCCCCACCATTATGTGTAGCAGCAGTGAAACCATGAGTTTCAAGAACACAAATCCCAAAAATCCTCAACTCTTCTATTTTAGTTGGCATTGCCCAAATCAGTTAACTTGGCTTCTCATATTAAGCACATTACCAATCTATTAAATCAAAAGCATGTATAATAGTACTGAATTTGAATACCGTATGAATGAAATTAGGTCAATATCACATCACCACATGTAAGTAATGCAACCAGTTTTTGTTGGCTAATACTAGCACCTTCCGCTCAAGGTCTTATGTTGCTAGAGTATAGATTATTCATCATTAAAATAGTAGATATAGAATTATCAAGGACCTGAAATAATAACTCCTCAACTTCAGGAACTGAAGTACGACTAGCACAAAATCCCTATTTATAATAAAAACCACACAATACAGAAATACAGGCAAATTAACAAGCTGTCAAAGACTTGCCAACTATCAGAAGAAGAAACTGCTGACTAAACTGGAGCATTTTAAATTCAAGAACGGAAGTCTGCAACATACCTGTGCGCATCTTTCCCAGTAGTACTAAGATTGCCTTGTTCTTTTTCCATGCACTCATTGGCATTGCCAGCCTGATTTCCAATTTCACCTTCACCATCAATGAACTGCAGCTTCTGAACGAATGAAACAAAAATCCTTTTGGTAATAGAAGAATCTGAGATAGAAGCCAAGCATCCAATGGCATCCTGAGAAAGAGATTAGAATATATGTGGAGTATTATATTAATAAGACATCAACCGGTGTTTCAAATTACCAGAAAGAGGATATATATCAATCTCACACAATTTGGTTTCCCAACAAAGAACCTTTCACTTCATCAGAGTAAATAAATTTGCATAAGTCTCTATCAAATTTCAAACCTAATGATGTTGAAAGAATGACAGATGTGAACCTTTAGATATAAGCGCTTTGCTGGAAGTGAACAAACAAATACATCACTCAGTGCCTGAAACAACGCAGGAGCACATGACGACAAAGCCTTGATGTTTCTGGTTGCACTTTTCTTTGAATATGAGGCTGAACTTCTGAGCTCTAATACAGAATCTCTCACTGTGAAATTATTTGCCTCACCAGCGTCCTTTCCGGATCTAAGTATACTTTTGCTTTGATTGACAAGAATCTATGAAAAAAAAAATTGTATCAAAAATATATAAATATGTATATTATACAAGAGTAGACAAGTAACAACCTAAAAATTTATTAGGAAAATGGATTATCATAAGGTTCTAGTACTTACAATAATATTGATGATAAAGATAAAACGAAGAAAAAAAAAAAAGAACCCTTACCTGTAAGGCAGAAGCAATATTTTCATGCATAAAAGAGTCCTCCTTAAGAATATCAATCAAAAGTTCAGCCAAAGCTTTGAACTTCTTGTGCATATCAATAGGATAGCGACAAAAGGCAGGTAGTAATCCCCAGAGACCATGAGCATGATCCTGCAGATCTTGACGAATTACAGACTTTTTTACTGAATAAAGTGGAAAAAAAGGAAGGACAAAAATTTAAAAAAAAAATTAGAAATTGGCATAAATTGTTGTCATCATAAATTACAGTTCAAGGAAAATCTCGGAAAGCAAAATACATACAATTATGCAGCACAAGACATAGCTGTCCAAGGAATATAGTTACAATGAAATAGAAATTAAAACAAGGCAGAAAGAGAGAGATACTGAGAAGGAGTAGATGCTCAGCAGAATAAATCCAATTTTGTCTGTATATTAAGAACCAGTACCATAGAGGCAGATGTGGATAATCTCATTCTGAGCTGTTATATGCTTTTTCATTTTATACAGACTAAAGAAATGATAGGCTATGTACCAAAAAGAAAAAGAAAAGAGATGATAGGCTTCTCAATGAATGGTTGGCCAATGTCATCTGTAGGGCACAAAAACACCTACCACAAACCAGATAAAAGCTTTGGCAAGGTAGCAACTACATCTCCTAACAAATGGGGTTGAATGTCTTTGCATTGGTAAAGGAATCCCTATATTGAAACTTTAAGACATACACTAATGAAAAACTATTTCAAAAAAGACAAGTTTTGCATCACATATTCCATCAAGTTGCAAAAGTTGGACAGGTCCAACCACTTTAAACCAGCCAACAGGATGTTAGGCTAGACGAATTGTGAAATGTAACAGTATCAGAGCAACTCACAGAAGTCAAATAAAGTGAAAGAATGTTTAAGTCACTTTGCACAGCTACAGTTTTCACACTACTGACTGTAGAAATGATATTTAGTTATTAATTGTAAGTCTTCATTAAACCAATCAAAATTTCAGGTCCCAGATAAGGATCTTCATCCTCAGAAGCATAATGTCAACTAAATCCTTGGCCTCCAAAATATCCTTGAAAGAACCATAATCCAGTAGATTCACAGCAATTTAAGCATACCATCTTTCCAGGTGCCTTTTTATGTGCATCTTTACCCTTCAATATTCAAATCTAACAATAACCATGCTGTGAAGAAAATTTCCAAGTGCAAGAAGAATACCTTTAGAACTTGCCAGCTGAAATGATTTTGCAAGTGGCACTATACTCTCCATATAATACCTGAGAGATGCTCCAACAACATAGTCTTTCAATATGGGTAGCAACCAGACGTTTGAATAACTGATGTCATCTGAATGAAGGGTTATAGGCAAAAGAGTCAGTATCCTTTCTGGCCCTATAACAGTAACTGCTGATCCTATACAATTCTGAAGCTGCAAATTGTAATGAAAGAGGATATCAATAATCTTTCTGGTTATCACCAAGGAAGACACTCTAGCTGAAGTCGTCAAACAACATTATATATAGAATTGGCACAACATAATGCGATATCTTGTTGCATCAATGTGAAACCTCTAATCAGATAAATTGTTCGGATGTACATGGGCATAGATAAATGTGGCAAACACAGCACATTTTTCAAACTAAATATATTAAAATGCACCCTGCAGAAAGAGAGGAATATGCAGGCTATCTTGCTTACTCATCATCTAAGGCCAAACATGCCAACTAAACAGAAACAAAGACCTCCTTGTGAGCACAATAACAACCCAATCTTTACACTTATCTCTGTATCTCTAAAATACACATTCCCTTGATTTTGCTAAACTTTTCCATTCTTTACAAATTTATTCTAACTACTAGCAACATGTCACATAAAGGTTGTGACTTTCAAAAGTACAAGGCAGGTATATCGATAACCGCTTGCAAGAATAAATTTTAGTGAAGAAATAAACAACTTGCTAAAACAAAAATTTAAATTCAGTAAAATGTCATAACAATAAAACAGAATATTGACAAATTAAATCTGAAATTATATTAGCAATTTAAAACCACAATACAAATCAACAAGGGAACAAAAAGGAAAAGAATAAGCCAAGACTTACATGGTTCATGTTAGACGTGTCCCCCTTAGCAAGAGTCATCAACTCGGCAAGTTTATGTACAATGCTCTTCATAAATACATATGAGGATTCCCCTACAACCAATATAAGCACAAGTATAAGCAGAATTTGTTGCACAAGTAAACATGCATACTTTGAACTGAGCAGGAAGAATGCAATCCTGACCGACAATTAGGTCCTAATGACAACCTTTCACATTCTTTAGTCTTAGGTTCTCTAAGTAATATAAGTTATCCATTGTACATTGAAGGGCAAACAACTTGTCACAATACTGCTCCATTATTTTTGTCTCTGATCATTGTACAAAGAACTCTAAAATTCATTTTATAGATATAGCCTTTAGAAGGTAATTTATATGATTTAAGCTCTTACCATGATTAGGGATTTCTAATTTTGGTTCAGAAAATAAGCCTGTAAAAGGGTTTATACTAAAATTATAATGAAGATCACCAATTTTGAATGAAATCAATTTTCACATTTGTTATCCTCCCCTTTTTTTTTCTTCCTAGGGGAGTTTTAACTCCATTAGCTAAAGCAATTGAACCATCTTCACTAACAATTTCAAAAATCATGTCTACAACTTGTTTTGACTGAGATCCAATTGTTACTTTTGTGTCCAATTCTAGTGAAGATTATTGGACCTAAGCCACATCAATTTTAAGCATAGATTATGAGAGCCCTGTTGAGAACACTCAACTAAATTAATCCCATAAATGCACAGGACCATTATGCGTTCATCACATTTATCTTGAGAAGTTCCCCTTCAGAGTAATATACATGTTCAATGTGAATTTCTACTAAACCATGAGATGACAATTAACAGTTTTAGACACAATGTCAGTCAAGAAACATAGCACTACGCAGCCAAGCACTTGCATATAGCTCTTTAAGGACAATTACAAACAATGAAATGATAGTAAGAACCTCATTTGTTATGCTGTTATACACATTACTATTAATCAGACATCTGTAAAACGTTCACATGAATCTAGACTATCGGTTCTGGTGCCTTAGGGAAAATATGTACAATTGTACAGTTCTCATGTAGCAAGTAAAGAAACAATCCAGCGTACCAAGTTTCTGAAACAAAACTGTCAAGACAGCCAGAACATGCTCATTGGGAATTCCATCACTTGAACTAAGGGTGTTCTCAAGGATAGCACATATAGATTTTATTGCATCCGCTTCCTCACTTCCAAGACCATTGTTTTCAGCAGAGAAAGACTTCAGATCTATATGGTTGCTAATCAACTCCCTCATAATAACTGACGCCTGTGATGCCATGCTAGCCTCAGAAGTCAAAAGAACTACATCAACATCAACAACATTATGAGAATAAAAATTTTTAAAAGTTCAGCATTGCAATCACAACATCCAATAGAAAACCATCAGCAGCAGCAATAGCAACAAGTATTCCATTGCATTAAAGAATAAAGATAAACTCTATGTCTCACATGCGAAACAGAACTAGACATCTAGACAAAGATACTTTTACTTTTTAATTGGCCCTGAGATCAATCAATCAATAATGCCATGTTCTATACTACGGTAAATTGCTGACGATTACTGTTTTCATTGAAACTTGGCTATATTTTATTGACAATATGGAAAGTAAAACATTAACCCAGTGAACAGTATACCAAAGTGTTCTGGAACAATTGTAAAGGCATATTTTAATATGTCGCACAAAAGTAATGCCATGAGGGAAAATGGGCACAGTTGATTTCTAGGAATATTACAATAGAGAGATCTTCAGTCTAGGAACTTCAAACTATAAAATAAGTTTCAACTGTGTGACAATAATTTAAGAACCATTTGAAAGTGAAAAACTGTGCATATTACAAAATACCATTTAACTCCCAAAAATATTAATAAATAAGACAAGCAACATCACCTTAGAAAAACCTCCAACAAATCATCACAAGAAGTAATGAAACAGTTCATTCGGAGAAAACATATTCAATAAACTATATTCTGATTGCTATTTAAAGGAATGGCAGAAGGCAGTGATGATCCACTGTATCCAATAATAGATTGTAAGACAAGGAAAAACCAAGTTTAGCAATGCCAAAGTCCATTACCATTTGTGAAGACAAAGTAATAAGCGTATCATATCTTCTCATAATAATAATAATAATAATAATAATAATAACAAAAAAAAAAAAGCATGTCATATCTGAAAAAAAAATGAAAAAGCATACCTGCTAAAGAACCAAAAACTAAAGGAACATTCTTCATCCACAAGTTTGATTCTCCAGCATGAAGTTTGTCTAAAGCACATTTTAACAAAGTTGCTGCAGATATGAGAGTGTCAACAGGATTCTTCTCTCCAGAGACATAAGAAGCAAGAGAAACTATAATGTTCTCCATCTCTGGTACAATTGCTTCAACATTTGAATTTCCAAAAAGAACTTCAATAGTTTTATGAATGTTCCTTGTAAGGGAAGAGAACTCAGAACTGATAAGCTTACATAATTCTGATAAAATTTTTAAACGGACTTTGGCAGAGAGATATGGAACAGTAAGCTTCACCAGATTTAACATATGAAGGACCTCCAAATTTTCAGGTTTTGACAATGTTTCATCCTTGGAATCATCTCCACTCTTAATGGTACTTAAGGTAAGTGCAAGAGGCATATGCTTTTTAAGCAAGAAAAGCACTAATTTACTTGCCTCCTTGATAACAATTGAGGACTGGAAAGACTTAAAAACCTTCTCAAGATATTTTTGGGCACATCTACGGACCTGCAACACAAAATTAAGTCAACACATCAACTTAACTTTCATTACTTCTTTTTCTACAAATAAGTCACTATCACCAGCAAGTTGCTAGAGTTATTCCACAAATAGTGAAGGGTTACTTCAATCTAAACTTAAGGCCATTTTACAGATACACTTGATTGGGATGTATGTAGCTCTCAATGCAGCTTATACAAGAAAATTACGCATAAGAGCATGAGCACACAAGCTCCAATACAAAGAACTCCCTAAGGACTTAGGAAACTATCCAACTCTTTTGAAGCCATTGTAATCTCTACGTTCTTTTCATTATAGCATTCATTGACAAGAACTACATCCTGTGAAACCTAACATTCATTATGCATAGAAGATCAAAAACAACATAATGATGCTGATGACACATTCTGTAACATAATGCAAACTGAGACCATAACATTCATCACAAATAGAGAGCAAGCAAAAATAAATAAATACATAATACCCTGTTTTATTGCTTTGCTATTTACTTCTTCAAACATGGTTAAAAAGAGAAAGCAAAAGATAAAAAAATATATATTAATATATTTTATTTTATTACGAACGAGAAAATGGTTAAAATGAAGTGTCAAAATTAAAACACAATTGACCAGTATATAATAGAATCATGAATTTTCCTATCTCTAAAATTAAAGTTCGTAACCTTTAATCGTTAAAAAAAATTATAGATTTTTGCATCCAAAAGGTCATTTAAACTGTGAAAAGCAAGTAATAAAAGCAACAGTAAAACAGATCTAAATAAATATCTTAACAAAACCTTGGGACGTTTATCAATGGCGAATCCAAGCAATGTCTCCAAACCAAAACGAACCGAATGCCAATCCTCCAAATCACAAAACCCAACAACCAAAACCCCCAAACACTTAACCCCGCTTCTCAAACTCGCCACTCCAAGCCCCTCCCTCCCTACCACCCTCACTACAACTTCCACCGCCTCCTTCGCCTTGTCACTGGAAATCCCTCCTTTTGGCACTAGAAGAACCACAATCGACAAGAATGTCAAAAGCGCACCGATTGCCGTCGAATCCAGGGTGGTCGCTGAGTCATCATCGAGGGCAGAAATGGCGGCAGCAAAGTAGGCGGGAGGGGAAAGAGGGAGGACTCGGCGGAGAGGATAGAACGCATGGCGGCGGCGGTGGCGAGGAGTGGGCGTGCTGTGGGGCGGCTGATTTGGAATAACGGTCCATGAGTTGCTGGCAAATATCGGTCCCATCTTTGAAAGGGGTTTCGGTTTCGTTTTCGAGTTCGAGTTCGTTTGGGTATTCGCTAATGTCTTCTTCTGGGTGATTTGGGGTCTGTTTTTTGTTCATGGCGGTGATTTTGGTACAGATTTCGGTGCGCGTGTAGGGTTTAAGACTTTGGGTCTGGGTTTTCTCCTGGGTGGAAATGATATGGGCTTCAAGCCTTATGAGATTGGGCTTGAGCAAGAAGACCCAACAAGCCCTCTATCATTGTTTGTTCCAAATTTATGTGTAACATAGCTTTGCTTTTGCCCGATTCAGTCGGACCTTTCTCTGGCTTCTTTCCGCAAGCATCCCCGTACCATAAACTTAATAATTAATTATTTAATGCATGCATATGTGTTAACATGTCAAATACCTAAATCTGCCAACGTATTAAACTAATAATCCGTCCTGACTCTGCATCTTCCAAGGGCAATAAGAAATTGTTTCCAAGTGGAGAGAGCAACGGTGAGGTGACACTTGAGGTGATGGTTCAAAGTCCTGTGACTAATTAATACTCAGGCAGAAAATAAGAAAGATTTCATGACCATTAATGCTTGGAATTTGAAAGCAGGGTTTCCGCGGGGTAGGTAAGGGTGGAGGTGAGAGGACAACCGTAACGTAGTATATATGTGATGAAGCTTAGTGGTAAGGTGAAAGAGGAAATTAAGTGGGAGAACATCACCCTTAATATTAAAGCCAAGGGACCTACGCATGCCTCTCTTGGTGAATACGATATTATATGACCTACCTACCGACCACTGTACGGACCTGCAGGCTGCACGTATTGCTTTAATAAAAGGCTTGCTCCCTTAATCAGACTCCAACTTATGCTACACCTAATCAAATATCATTACATTAGCCCTACAGTACAATAAACCTCGATTGAGGAAGTCTTTTCCATCTTTCCGATCAAATGTATACAAGGATTTCATCTTAAACAAGATGTCGGTGGTAAAGCTTAACAACCTGTATATTGTAGGGCTACCTAGCTAGATGGCCAGCCATCTCATTGGAGAAGCTGTAAATATATAAAACACGATTTGATCACCTGAGTGTCCCTTGACAATTGCCGCCATTAATATCTTGGCCGACGTCATCGCTGGAATGGGCATGAATGATTTCCATGTCACCATGCAATAAAGCCAGAAATTAAGCATGCCGATCCATAGTATTACCTTCAATCATGCTTCCGACTACGTATATAAGCCACAATCCATTTCTTTATTTCTACGTAGCGTCGAAATTTAATTTGATTGTTCCAATTCTTGGGACAATCTAGCAGTGGGACTTCTCTAGTTGGTGAAAATATTTGATCCCTTAATCTTTTTTGCTTCTTCTTTTTCAAAGGGAGTCCCTTGATCCCCTCTAGTCTTTCAAAGTTTTCTTGCATGTAGTTACGACCACGAAACATATCCAATTGCTTTGTTACAAAAATAAAAATTATATTCTAAATTATGTACTATACAAAATCGAACGAGGTATATATGTATAAAACTAACAAGGTCGTAATCTAATTGTAACTTATAGTATCATAATTTATGTGTCACTAAATTTGTACAATTCTTTTAATACTTCTCAAACTCAAGGTGGCATGATCATAAAAAAAAAAAAAACAGTGGCATGATAAATGCCAACTTGACTTTGAAAATTATGTTTTGAAATCAATCTAGAAGATGTGTTTTGAAAGAAATATCAGCAATTGGATTTGACGAGGATAATGAAAAGTCCCATAAGTAATATGACACGCAAAATAAAAATCAATCCCAATATAAGTGATGCGCTTATGAAACACATCATTGTGAACAATTTAGATAGCATTTTGATTATCACAATGAAGCATAATGCCCATACCTTTTATTAATTGATGAGGTCAAAGTAATTCAGGTAACATTTGAAAAATCATCATATTCTGATTCTGTAATCAAACAATGTGAAAAAAAAAATTGAAAGAGATAACTTGCTTAATAATGTCCAAAAATCAGGTATAATGAGAATTTTAGTGTCTTTAAATGCAAAGAGTGGCAATGGATAAAAATTCAGATGTTGAGAAATCTCGTCAAATTATTGCAATTGACTTAGAAACTTTAGATTTTTTCATATTAAAGTCAAAATTAGCAAAAATAAAAGTTAAAATCAAAATCAAAAGGTCAAAACTATTGTAAACAATGACGTGGTGAAATGATTTGGTAAAGACATGGCAACTAATTAATAGACAATGTGATAGATTGACATGGTCGAATACTTGGTGCAGGTGTTACAAAATCTCACATTAAATAGGTAAGAGAGGAATCATGAGCTTATAAGCGTGCACATTGCATATCCCATCAAGTTAACCTTTTGAAAATAAGATACTAACACCATGATAAAATGATATCAAAGTAAACTAAACTCGACTCCAATGTCACCCTAAATACTCCAATGGATGGAGAAGGCAAAGTAACTTGACTCATGATGAAAGCATCACAAATTCAGATGACAGAGATAATTACAAATCTTATATCGAATAAGTAAGGAAAAAATCATGATTTATAAGTGTAGGCACTCTATATCCCATCAAATTTACCTTTAACCTTCGATAGGAAGGATAATGTCCCGCAACACAATCTTAAAAGACTAACCAAGTCCAACCAATAGTGGGTCGAGCCTGCGGGCTCAATTAAGGAGCTTGGCTGATGGACACCTCTACATAATATAGCGACATTTCCTTTTGTGAGTAGCAATAGCATTGATTGTTTCACGCTAGGTAAAAGGAAAATTTTTATTTAGGAGTTGGTTTACATGTTACATCCATTTTGAGTTCAATATGGTACTAGTGAAGGATATAATTATAAAATAAAAAATGTAACTAATGTATTATATCTTGTTGAATTTAATGAGAATAGTGCATTAAATAAAAATACTTGAAAATTTTAGTAATGAGAATTCGAAAATTATCTTTAGATAGTGTCAAAAACTTATTTAGTAATTTAGGAGTTTGAATTGTATTTAAATGAATGAAATCTGAGATGAACTGATTGTCTTATATAACTTACAATATTACTTAGTTTTGCCTAGTGTTGTAACAGTGATTAACTATCTTCCTTTAGTGTAAATCTAAAATAATGTGTGAAAACAAGTAAACAAGCTCAATTTGATTTTGAAATTGAAAAGATATTCATATTAACCAAAATATTGTATTGCAAATTTTACATTTTTTTATATTAAATTTGTGATTAAATTTTATAATTACTAATCACAATCCAAAATGCAGGTTTATGTAACCGTTTGAACCTTTAGATTATGGGATTTGTTAATAAGTGTTTTTTAGGCACTCTTTAAAAGTTTTGCATTGGATACTATTGTTTTTAATAGATTAAAATGCGTCAAATTAATTATCAATTTATTTATTTTTTTAATATAATAATATAAGCAGATGAGTCCAGGGCAAAGAGCGTTGTTGTTTCATTTTCCAACGCACGAGCAGAGGCAGAGGAGTCCAAGTAGTAAAACAAAAGCGACACGTGTCTTTTGCTTTCATGGAAACTTCCATTCGGAATCAGAAAAAGACCGACCGTCGAAACACATACACCCCGGGACGGCAGAGGGTAGGGATGGGACCCATCCTCCTTCACCTCGTCTCTATCGTCTCTCAGACAATCCAGGCCGCCAGCTCCTGTCAGGCTGCTTCACTTTCAATTTCAGACGCGTGCTTGCACATCCCAGTTAACAGCAAAAAAGGGTTATAATCAAAGCCATACCCCAGTAATGTAGTAGGGGAGGAAGGGAGTAATAAAAACCCAAGCAAGTAACATGACATGAGGGGTCAATGTTCAATAAATAAAATAACAGAAAGAGATTGTGACCGACGCGCCTTGCTTCCATTGAGCTTCGAAGAATCTAATGGTGCAGAGTTTTGAATGGTTAAGAATCTAGCTTTGTCCGTCGTAGCGGTTTAGTACAATGCCGATTCAGACCCTACCCACACTCACTTGTACCCTTACCAATTAATCGGACGAGTTAACCCTATTCCTTCCAAAGAGACTCCTCCTCCCAACTCATATCTGCGTGTCAGAATTGTCGGCATGAGTTCTTCTTTTCTCTTTTCAAAGTAATTTATTTATTCAACATTTTTCACCTGTTTATGGTCATTTTTCGTATAAACATTTTACCTAGAACAAAAAAATCTAAGAAAAATTATCTCTTACACTTGTAGTGGACCAGAGATTATCACGTATTTTATAAAAATATATTTTTAAAACATTAAAAAATTATTATAATAAATAAAATAATATATGATCGAATGGATCATATCAATTTATAATTGGGTCGAATGAAAAGTTTTTAAAACTTGAATTTAAAAGTGAGTAAATGTGAACCGAACTGAACAATTGAACTGAATCGAAATGAATTTGATTTTTTCAGTTCGGTTAGTTCGATTATTAAAATTAATTCGGTTTAGTTTTCGTTAGAAAGATTTTTAACTGAACTTAAGTAAGGGTATTATGAAATTTTGCATGAAAAATAAACCTAAACCTAATCTGTTTTCCTTCTTAGTTCCTCTTTAATTATATGAGTATTTATTTTATTTATTATACTTTTTTATTATTTTTAAATATTTTTATAGTATTAATTTATTAAAAAAATAAAATATAAATAAATATAAACAAATAAAAAATTTATCAAGTTCAATTTTTAGAAACCGAACCGAACTAACAGAATTAATTCGGTTTCGGTTAATTCAGTTATTTGCATAATTCGATTCAGTTTCGATTATTTTTACATATATATTCAGTTAATTCGAAAAATAACCATTTGCACACCCTTACTTGAATCCGGCTTAAGAGTATTATTATATCAATTAATAATATATTTAAACTTAATTTTAATTTTAAAATTTTAACATAAAAAGACGTTTAATGTTTCAAATAATAAAATGATATATAATGAAAAACCCTAACTTAAGTCAAGAATTGGATTTTAAAAAAGTCATCTTGAAAACATCCCATTTGTATTACATCAAATTTAAAAAACAAACAAATATAATATTTTAATTTCATATTAAATAAATAAAAACATCTTAAAAAGTTTATAATAGTGAACACTACACATCTCAAATTAACTCTTAAAAAAAAAAAT